GCACTCAGTTAAAGTCAGAAAAGAACAGTCATTGTGCTGAAGAGTGGTTTGATCCTGATCAGAGAACATCAAAGTTCTTTTCATTTTGGAAGTTAATCCTGCTTATTTTACTTTTGAGGAACTGATTAGCAGTGTAATAATCAGAGATGCGCAGGGATCTGCTTTTGACTGTCTACAAAGGTCTGTCCATGGACTGTCATGTGTACATCCAATTTATGGAACAACTGACAAATCCAGCAAACATGGTCTGTTCATGCAAAGCATGAATCTAATATATTGAAAATAACAAATGTGACCAATAATTACAGGCTTGTCTTTCCCCATACTTGAGGTTCTGAGAGACTAAAATTAAAGTGATGGAAATTTCTTAATTTCTAAATGTCCTGTTAATATTTTCTGTTCTAGACATTCCAGAGGTTCCCACTGTGTCAGTGAGTCCTTCTGCTGAGATAGTGGAGGGCAGTTCAGTGACTCTGACCTGTAGCAGTGATGCTAACCCAGCAGCTAAATATACCTGGTACAAGGAACAACAACCAATCAGCCAAAAAAAGCAAATCATCTTCAGGTCCATCCGGTCCTCTGATTCTGGAGCGTATTACTGTACTGCTGAGCATGAGGTGGGCCGAATGTCATCTGAAGTCATCTTTATCAGAGTGAAATGTGAGTCAAGACAGTTTTCCTATAATACCACACAGGAAACAGGGGTTTAAACTCTGACATTGTCACAGGGGGAGAAAAGAAGGTTTGTAAGATTAAAACTGTCTTTACAATCTGCTATAATGGGTATAGATATTTAAAGTTAAAGAATAGGATTTTGTACAATTTCTTCACATTGACTTGTTTGAACACCAAATTCAAATGTAAATTTGCTGCAATTTTTGTCATAATTATTTCCACATCTCTTCTAGATGCTCCAAAGCTTCCCTCTGTGTCAGTGAGTCCCTCTGCTGAGATAATGGAGGGTAATTCAGTCACTCCATCTGGTGAGATTGGTGACGACAGTCCAGTGACTCTGACCCGTAGCACAGTCAGTTTTTCTCCTGACATTGGGAACAATCAAGGTAGTGACACAATGGAGTTGTTAAAATTGGCCCAAGTGTAGTTTATAGTATTTTTAGTTTGTAACTGCTGTATGACATTAGGCAAGAACTATACTCAAAGTGTGTTGAGACTTTGGTCTGATATGTTTTATGTTTTATATCCATTCTTATGAGACCATTAATCTTGTAATCCAGTAACAAGTTTTCAGTTTGGTCACTGTTTCCTAGACTCATGGAAAAAATCAACTGCAATTGCATCAATCACTGTTCTATTTCTGGCTGTTATAATCATCTGTGGAATCATATTCATTAGGTGAGCAGTTCAGTTATATTGTTAAAATCAATGTGTCTTTATTGATTTCAAGTTATAATAATAATAATAATAATAAAAAAGCTCCTTGAGGTGACTTTTGCTGTGATTTGGTGCTATATAAATAAAATTGAATTGAATTGAATTAATAATTAATTAAAATGTTCATTCGTCCTTCTGTACAGAAGAAAAGGGTGCTTCAAAACAAATTCTTCCAGAGAGAGGCCAGACAACAAACCAGAGGTAAGGAAGAAGAGGTCAGGTATCAGGTATACATATATGAACCTGAATTTTAATGTAACTGAATCTCTTTGTATATGTCGCATACTGCTGTCTAGGGATGAGTATTGATAAGATTTTCACGATTCCGATTCCATTTTCGATTCTGTTTAACGATTCGATTC